AACCCCCTTCTGGGGGCTGGCGGAACTCGCCGGCACTGGGGTTTTATCCCGTATCCCCCTTCTTCGGAAGTCCCATCTAACTTGACTGGGCCACTTCAGACTGGTGCGAGAAACAGGGTGTATTTTTTAGAGCGGGAGGTCCTGAAAGCTCAGGTCATGAAAGGCAAATACCCTGCACTAATTGCGGCGCCTGACCTGAGATTCCCATGGGTCTCCCCGCATTTATTTCGCGGGCTGTATCCAGTTGTCCTCCGGACAAACCACCGCATCGAGTTGTCGTTCTTGGCGGAAAGTCGGGAAGCTCGTGTTCGCTTTCACACGTTACTAAGTGTGACCACCACCTTGTTTTGGAATTTGTGGATCGGAATATAGACATGTGGCCATTGAGAATCGAGCGGCGTGTTATAATTGGAGGAGATGCACCTCAAAGAAGTAAATCGAGTGTGATACACAAATGGTTGGCGTCGCTTTGCCCAAGGTGTGGGAAAAGCTCGCCGCAAACTGTTCCCCTCAAATAATTGGCTCTGGCCTAGATAACTCTCCGCAGCATGAGTCAGCCATTCGATTGGATGAATTTCTCCACATGTATCAATTTCGCCATTAGGAGTTTGCCATATCAGCACTGGCATCCACATGTCAAATAGCGATTCGAAATAGCTTCCGCAGGTGTGCTCCATAGTTGGTCCATGTTGCGTGAAATGCTGCCATGTGTTAAAGTACAGTAAAAGCAGATTGCACCACACATGCTGCCGCATCACATGGGAGCCTCTCGTTTATTTGCTGGTGTTCGCCGCGTTCCTCTGTGGCGGTTCGAAACTCCAGTTTATGCGACACTTTCAGCTCACCAGTTTTTCTGGAATCATCGCAGTGCGATTATGCGACGCCGTATTTTGCCCAAACAATCGCCTTGCTCAGCTAGAAACTAAAACTGAGCATCGCACAGCCAATCATGTACATGCATGCGACCTCAATCTCATCCCTCCCCTCCACACTACCCCTCTACCTCGACACCTTTCCCCCCCCACCCTCCCCCTTTCCCCCTCTATCCCTTGCCTCCCCAAATTTCCTAACCAGTCAGCGAAGTGTCGAAAGGCCGGAAAGGGGAGAAGCTTTTGCTTGTGTGGTTGTGTGTGCCATTATCGGGGAAGCCCTAGGGGCCGATCGCGCCTCGTCGGATCTCCTCTCCTCACATCAGATTCATGGGGCAGTGCTTGAATCATCCTCAACTTGCTGTGCGCCCTGTTGGGTCGTTGATTTCGTTGTGCACGCAGACCACCTCACACAAAAACCACTCCTCTTTCCCTTCTGGCTTTCCTTCTTGCAGCCCACGGCGGAAGACTTCCGCACTTTCTGCTCCCCTTATCCCCCACCCACCTAAATCCTTCCCCTTTCGCGCTGCGTTGCTCCGACCCAACATCGCCTCCGTACCTGCCTGCCTCCCTCCCATCTCCTAGAAAAGCACGCGCCAGCAGAGCACATTACACGCCCACCTCATCACAGCACACCACCCGCGCTCGCTCTCACGTCACCTTCCGGTCCGCACTTCCGCATTCCGCCCTACAGACCATTTCTGCTAAGTCAGACACAAAATTGATATCAGTGTAAACTCCGCCCGCACACCATTGTGACTAACATTCGCCAGAGCATAAGCCCCTAAGCCGTACATTTTATCTCCTTCCCGCGCCGTCATGAGCATTACTGCTCTTCCGATCCACGGATTGGAGCAGTATACGAGAATGCACGGAGGCCAGCCATCGCCGTCCCACTCAGCCGCTGCCGTCGCCGCCGCCGCTGCGGCCAGCATGTTCCTAAACTCGAGCGGGCCGCTGCCCAGCTACATGTCCTCTCCAAACACCAACGCCGCCGCCGCCGGATCGTCGAACGGATCCGGCGCAGTCGAATCGCCGCTACCGTTCTGCCACGCGGTGTGGGAGGCCGCCGCGCCAGGAAGCCTCGCGGCGCGGCTGCTATCGTCGTCAACGGAGGAGCTCTTTGACGTTCCTGGCGATGACGGCATCGGCATTCCCTTGGAGGCCTGCGGAGACGCCACGCTGCGCCAGTCCTCCGATCCGCACCATCCCTCACCGTTCGGCTCGGACGATCTCCAGTCTTGGCAGGCTGTTGACGCCGACCGAGCCGCGCCCGTAATGTCCGGCAAGTTGCCGCGGCTCGCCAGCCTGCAAAGTCAGCTGTTCCAGGTGTCCGCTGAATCGCAACAGATGAGCGGTCAGCCATTACAGCGACTGTTATCGCAGAGCTCCATCGGCAGCAATTGTAGCGGCCCGTTTCATCACGCCGCGCTCGCCGTCCAGTTACACTCCGAGACCTTCTCTGTAGACGGCGGCGCATCTTCCGCCGCTCCCGCCGGCGGCCCAGACGGGCATGCGACAACGCCCACGGGGCTCGCCGCGTACCTTCTCTCGGCTCCACTCGAGGCGCTCTTTGACGTCCCCGAGGAGGAAGATCCCGCCGCGCTCTCCGCATCTGGCGCTGGGCCTGATGGTGAGCAGCAGGGCGCGAGCGGACTGAGATTAGATCTCCTTGCGATCCAGCGAGGCGAGACGCCGCCTTTGCCGCCGCAGCACCCGTCGGGCATGTTCTCTCCGGACCCCGCGACCTCCGCCGCATCCAACGCTGCTGCTGAAATGTACGTTAACTACCCCGGGCCCATCTTCTCCGCGCCGCTAGGCGCCATCCCGGCTCGACCGAAAGGCCACCGCCACGGGTCGGCCAACGGCATGCCACGTCATATCAAGCGCGTGCTGAGCTGCAACGATGCCCCGCCCGATCAGGGTTTGCAAGGCGCGTATGGCACGGCCACGGCGCTTCCTAACGCACCGGAGTCGTATCACGCAGGAAGCCCCCGCCGTGGCGCCGCCGCCGCAGTCGACACTGCGGGCGCTAGTGCGAGCACGGTTGTGAGGAGCCGCAGCACCAGCAGCGTTGGGAGCGGCCACGTTGCTCCTGTCGCGTGCGCCGGCGCTTCCAGCGGCTGGTTCCGCGCATCCAGTTCTCCCGCGGGGGGCACGTCTTCCGCGCGCCAGATCGCCGTTGCGCCTTCCAGCCAATCCTCGAGCCGGGGGAAATACGGATACGCGTCGCAGCAGAATCAGCTTTCCGGCCAGCGGCAAGTCCCCGGCGGCTCGTGCGCCGACTCCGATCCTTGCTCCGCGTCTTCCGGCGCCGGTTGCGCGTCGTTCCTCCGCCCGGGAACGGGCAGCGCGAGCAGCAGCACGGGCAGCGACAACAGCAGCGGCAGCGACAGCGGCAGCAACGTGAGCCCGTGGCAGATGGTGGGCGCAGCGACTGGAACCACGAGCGGAAGCGAATCGTACGATGAGGTCTCCCCGCATAGCGCCTCGTTTGTCCGCCATAAGTCCACAGGCTCGGTCGAGTTCCCTCGGTCGCGCTCCGGAAATTACGGCGGCGCGCCAATGCTGTCCCCGCAGCACCAGCAGCAGCTGATGCACCTGCAATTCGGTGGGGCGTCGTTCGGAAGCAGCACGGGCAACGGCCACTTTGGCGCAGTGTGCGGCGGCGGCGCCGGCGGGTACTCCGCGGGAGGTAGCGGAGCTGGCGGAGGGCTGGGGGCGCAAGGGGGCAGCGGGACAGATCGATGGGTGTCGCCCATGGGTCCCGTGCTGACGCCCATTGAGCAATCGCCCGTTACGTCCGACCGTTACAACCCGTCCGTCGCTGCTATCGCCATCGCGAACGGATCAATTTCGTCCTCGTCGCAGCGTTCCACGCCTGTCTCAGCTGTTTTCGCCCGCGTCTCGGGTGGTGGTACTGATGCCGGCTGCAGCAGCCCGGCTGTAGCGGAGCTGACGCCGCAGCAGAGGATGCTACAGCAGCAGCTGCAGCAGCAGATGGCGATGATGATGATGATGGACGGGTCAGCTGCTGCCGCTGCCGTCTCCGCTAGTGCGCTACAGCCGTCGCAGAGCAAGGAGCGATCCATGGTTAAAGCCAGCAGCTGCAATCAGCTGCACATGCCGCAGCAGCAGAGGCAGCCGCAGTTGACCTTTGGCGGCATGCCGTGTCATCACGTGCACACCCCCAGCCACCGGCACCAGCGCCACCTGTCTGGAAACTCCCCCTCAGAGTCCGTTTCCGGGGCTGGAGGAGCGGGCCCCGCCGGACCTGGGAGTGTCATTTCCGAGGCTGACCTGCGAGGCTTGGAGGAGGAGATGCGGCAGCTGGAGGCGGACATGGCTCGGCTGCAGGCGAACCCGGCGCGGCTGGCGCAGATGAGCGCGCAGGACAAGCAGCGCGTGCAGGCAGCTGCCGCGGAGATCGGCAGCATGCGTGCGTGCCTGGCACGGCGCTCTCCCTCCACGGCCACGCTCATGCTTGACTCCTCTCCGGGCGCCAGGCCTGTGGTCGGAGGGAGTTATCATGGGGGTGCTGGGGCAGGGCTTGCGCTAGGGATTGGAGGTGGGAAGAAGGGCGGTGTGTTTGCCACGGGTGATGTGGACGACATGTGAGGTCTGCACTGCTCTCAGGATGGATGGTCCGTACGGTGCTTCTATTGTGAGATGAGATGAGAATGACCTGCTGGGGGTCTCGTAGGATGGTGGGTGGGGCGCTTGGTGCTGGCCCGCAGCGTGGACTTGGCTTACTTGCTGGCTGCTCCTAACTGGTGATCTGCCGCTACTGGTACTGCACTAGAATATTGGCTTGGAGGTAGGAGGGATGCAATGCAAGCTCTCGTATTAGTAAATAGTCCGCTCTGATGCAAGGACTAGGCCAATACTGCTGTTTCGGCGCCTGCTTGCTGTTGGTTGTGGTGCAGAGGCGTATTTCATCTCTGTCTGCCTCCAATAATATAAATATGTATAACCTTACTTGTAAGATCTTGTTTCAATCAACGTTCGTACCACATACCCATAAGCAGTACAGCCTTTGTGTACACAAGTGTAGATGCTTAACTGTTTCCATGTTGCCATCTCAACTGTTGAGACCAGACACATGATTAGCAGAATCGTTCTTCCCATCTGCTACTTCCTCGGCTGTTGCCGCTTCCCCCCTCGGCTATGCTGCTTGCCTTTCCTGCCTCCACCCGCTGTCCTGCTGCCACTGCCCCTACGAACACCCCCCTTGGCACTGGCACTGGCAGTGGCAGCGGCAGGTGGTGCGGAAGTGGCAGTCGTGGTGGTGGTTGTGGATGCACGTGTGCGAGTGGTAGGGGTGGCGGCAGTGGCAGACGGAGCGTGCCCGTTGCGGCAGTGGTCGCAGGGGTTGGACTCAGGGGAGCACGTGCCACACGCCTGCTGCTCTCCAAAGTAGCTTAGCAGCTGCTGCCGTCGGCACTTGGACTGGAGATGCAGCGGGGAAGGCGCGGAGGGAGGGAGGGGGGCCGGGATGTAAGGATTGGGAGATGAGGGGGTGGGGGAGGGGAAAGAGAGGGAGCAGGGGGAGAGATGGGTTGATTGAGTGATTATTTACGCTCGCATAAGATATGGAGAGGTGTAGAGGGCGTGGGGGAGCAGAGGGTGTGGAGGAGCAGAGTGCTTGGTGTGGGCAGTTCAGCACCCCTCCCAGAACACACCAGCTTCCCCAGGACTTTGGAGCACAAGCACAGCCTGTTGCAATGAACCATCACACATTCTCCCAGCCCAAGCACAACCCTCTGCACCGCACCTTATCTTCACAGAACGCCGCCATTTCCCGCGCGCGCTTTATCTCCTCCTGCATCCTCCTCACTGCCGCTGCCCTGCCAGCCGCCCCACCACCGCCCCCACCCCTGCCAGCAGCGCGTGCAGCGGAGGAGGCGGAGCGGCGCAGGAGGCAGGCGACGCGGGAGAAGTCACGGCAGGCAAAGAGCACGATGCTGCTGGCGGGCAGCCCGTCCCTGCCCGCCCTGCCTGACTCCTGGTAGAAGTTCTCGAGAGACTTGGACATGCTGTTGTGGATCACAAACCGCTGCATGGAACAGTGAGAGGGAGGATGGGTGGGTGGGTGGGTGGGCGGGTGTGTGGATGGGTGGAGGGCCGAGGTATTTGGAAGTGTTGCAGGGTTGGTTGGAACTTGGAAGAGGCAGGGGCACGGGCGCAGAGAGAGGAGCCAGAGAACGGTGCGTTTCTTTGCATGTGTATATGGGTGAGTGGGGGAGAGAACAGCAGAGGGAAGGCATGGGCGTACGTACGACATCAGGCTTGTCAATGCCCATGCCGAATGCGCCCGTCCTTCCATCTCCCCTGCACAGCCACCCGCTCCCGCATGCCCATGCCCGCGTGGTAACACTCCGCTGATATTCCCCCTCCCTCCTCCTCTCCCTTCCCCGCTCCCTCCAAATCCACCTTCCAGCCTTCTTCCCCTCCCTCTCCCTCCCCCCTTCCCACAGAACTAGCAGCAGCAGCAGCAGCAGCAGCAGCACCACAACCACTGGCACCAGCAGCGGCAGCACCAGCAGCAGAAGCAGCGTCAGCATCAGGAGTACCAGCGTCGGGGCGCAGGTGCGGGGGGCAGCGCAGATACTCCGCGACGCTCTCAGCCTCGCGCTTGGACAGGCAGTAGATGATACCAGTTGCGGACGGGGGGAAGCACGCGGAGACGAGAGCGGCGAGGTGTGCGAGGGGGTGCGCGGGGTGCTTGGGCAGCACAGTGTAGCTGATGTTGGGCCGGTCGAACGAGAGGGCTATGTGCGCTGATGATGGGGGGAAGCGCAGCACTGATGTGATGTCCTGAGGGGGGATGGGGGGAGGACATGGGAGTAAGGAGGGGGAGAGGGGAGAGCGGGAAGCGGCGGGAGCGGGGGAAAGAGGAAGAAATTGTGGGAGAAGGAGAGGATGAGGGGGAGAGCGAGAAGGAGACCCACTCCCTAACTTTATCTCCCATCGTTACACAGCCTCCGTTCACACCCCTACCCTCCTTCCGCCCTCCATCACACCCCCACTCCCTCACCTGCTACATGTGGGGAGTGGTGGTGGGTAGAGGCAGTGAGAGACCCTGAACTCAGAGCTCAAACCTCACGGCTCACGGCTCAAACGCGAAACAGTTGCAAATCACAGCTCACAAACCACCTCAAGAACAGCGAAGTTGTGTGAGCAGTGGTGTGACCTAATCAGCATGAGATATGAGATGAGAACAGTTGGTCCCTCCGTGTCCACCTTCTGCACGGCGGGGGTGGCGGTGGCGGTGAGGGCGAGGAAGGGCGTGCCGGGGAAGAGAGTGCGCAGCGATGCCAGCTGGCGGTACTCCGGGCGAAAGTCATGCCCCCACTGGCTGGGGGAGAGGATGGGGGGAAATGGGAGAGAAGTGGGTGGCGGAAGGGGAGGTGGAGCATGAAAGGGTGGAGGTGGGGATATGGGAAGGGAGGGGAGGGGGAAAGTGGTTGGAGGAAGAAGGGCGGTTGGGGAGAGGAGGGGAATGAGTGGCAGGCGGACATGGGATGACATGAAAGTGCGCGGGGACGCGGGGACGGGGACGAGGGAATGGTGAAGGGGACGTACTGAGTGTACAGGGTCATGAGGCGTGGGAGAGGAAGTGGTTGCATTGGAGGTGGAGGGAACTAGGAAACGGTAAAATAAAATAAAACTTCGCTCCCAAACGGTATTACTGCACTCTGCCCAGTGCCTCCACACTCCCCATTTCCCCAATTCCCCATCTCCCCATCGGCCATCATTCCACCTCTTCCTCCCACCACAGCCCATTGTGAGTGAGTGGCAGCGCTACCACGGTGTGAGTGCTACCTCCTCCCCCCTCACCTGACGCAGTGGGCCTCATCCACCACGAAGCGAGCCAGCATACCCTGCCATGCACGCACATGGGCAGAGGGAGGGTGTGGTTGTGAGGCGCATCAACGACATGCCCTGCCATCATGCCATACACGCACAGGGGCGAAGTGCGCAAGGAGACGGCCGTGAGTTGATAGGCAAGCAGCGTGGGGGAAAGGGCGTGCAAGAAAGAGCACTGGGGAAGGGGCGTGGGGGAAGCGCGGGGGCGTGGGGGGAGGGTGTGGCACAGGGATACACGCAGAAAAAAATACTTCATTGAAATTAATAGGTAAAGAGATATTGTTTTCTCCCAAGCCCGCCAGCCCTCTCCCTTTTCCCTCTCCCCTTCCCCCTTTCCATTCCCCTATTCCATTCCCCTCTTCCATTCCCCTCGCCTTCTCACCCATGCCCATACCCGGGAGTGCAGGCCGCGCAGGATGCTCTGCAGGGCGGCGCTGCCCATGAGCTTCTCAGGCGTGACGTACAGCAGCTTGCACGACGGCACCGCCTTGCGCAGCTCCCGAGCCACCGCGGCTGCCTGCACTGCTGTTTGGGCGGAGGACAGGAAGGCGGCGGGCACACCGTGGTGGTGCACGAGTGCCATGACCTGATCCTGGATGAGCGCGAGGAGGGGGGAGACCACGACGGTCACACCGCGGGAGAGCACCGCTGGGAGCTGCAATGTCGGAGAGGAAAGAGGATGGCGGGAGCGGGATGGAACGGTGGGAGAAGGGTGAGGATGGGAGAAGAGAGGAGTGCAGAGTGGTACGGAATGAGGAGATTGGGAGAGAGGAAAGAAGTGCTGCGTGGTAAATTCGGAAAAAAAAAAAACAAAAAAAAAACAATCAAACGAAAGCCCAAAATGGAAAACGACTCTGCAGGTGGCACCTGGTAGCAGAGGCTCTTCCCCCCGCCAGTGGGCATGAGCACAAAGACGTCTCGGCCCGCCAGAGCAGCCTCGCACGCGTGCCGCTGCCCGTCCCTCAGGCGCCGGTGGCCAAACACGGCAGCGCTCGCGAGAGCCACCTGGTCCAGCTGCAGTGCCTCGTGGTACAGCAACACAGACGATGATGCTGCTGCTGCCGCTGATGATGATGATGCCCGCGCTTGGGATGATAGTGGGGGCGCTTTGGATGGTGGTAGGGGTGGTGCTAGGGATGATGGGGGCGGAGAGGGATATGGGGAAGCGGAGGAGGAAGGGGTAGCGTTGGGGACGTGTGGATGGGGAGTGTGGGCGCCGTTGCCTCCACCGACTCTTGTGATGTTTTCTCCCAGCGGCTGCTGCTGCGGATGCCAGGACCACCCATCGGTCTGCCCATCATCCTCCAGACCTAGATCCATGGCCTCCCCCAACTCTTCCCACGCCCATGGCTGTCTCTCCCACTCGCTCCTCCCCATTTCTGAACCCCCCTCCTCTCCTCCTCTGTCCCTCTCTGTCGCTACCCAATTTCCTTGCCCCCTGGCCTCGGTCCCTTCTCGCAACCTCCCCGCACCATCAGTAATAGCAGACCCGCCTTCCACCCCCACTCGCTTGCACCTCACATCCTCGCCCTGCACTGTTCTTCGCCGCACTGCACCGCCCTCTCTCCCACTCAAGCCACCTACATCTCCCGTACCGCCCAGCCTTGTCCAGAGCCATGCGTCCACTGGATCACCCTCGAGATCATCATCATCATCGTCCAGCTCGACTGCCACGTGGCCCAAATCGTCCAGATCGCGGCACTGCCCCTCTTCCCCCTCCCCCTCCCCCTCCCGCTCCACCTCCGCCTGCGCGTCCGCGGAGTCGTCCGCCTCGTCCGCGAGGTCAGCGAGCATGGCGAGGAACTCGTCCCCGCACGACTCAACTGTCACAAAGCTCTCGCCTTCGTCACCTACGCGCATAGAGACCGGGGGAACGATGGCCGGGGCCGGACGGTGGAGGATCAGGGTGCGGGGAGAAGTTAGCGGGGGAATGGGGGGTAGGGGGGAGAGGGTTCGAGGAAAAGGAGAGCTTTTGAGATGGCCACTAACGAAGGATGAAGCGATGAGGGGGGCTAGATTCCTCGAGAAACGCCAGCCACGTCTCGCGGTCCTTCAAGCATTAGGTGCGATTAGGTTTGCTCGACCGCAGTTTTCGACGTGGTGTGTTCGCACGGCTATACTAACTAAAAGGTTTCCTCATGCCAAAAACTCCTAACCATGGCGTCACGGGGAGCGAATGGCGGGGACGCGCACCATAGGCGTCAGTGATGCGCCGCAGACACCTAACGGCGTCGTCGTGTCGGAAGCCGCACTCCAAGGCCAGACTCAGCAGGCGACCGCGCTCCACTTGCGCGCTTTCCGCCGCCTTCCTTCGCTTTCTCGGCGCTTGCGCCTCTTTCGCGCGTTCGCTCGCCTCGTCACCTCCCGCAATCCCGTTTCCGCCATCTGCTCTACGCGTCCCCTTATTTCGGATCGTCGCTGCTGGTCGAGAAGACTGTTTCAGTTCCCATTCTCCCGACAAGCTGCGCTGTGCGCTGCCCTCCGACCGTTCCCGCATGGCCAAGGTTGGTTCAGGCGTCGAATCTGCTGGCGCAGAGTCGTCGGACGACAACTCACACACGCTGCCTCTGACGGCATTTACGGAAAAATCAGACTGCGTTCGCTTTCCTGGGCGCCTAACAGCATCGCATGGCGCTCCACGTGCCATGCAACCAGTTCGTGGAGCTTTTCACTTATCTTGGTTATGTGTTTGTGGTTGGAAGTATGAAACAAAACTTGTTCCAGGGAAACACGAAAACTTATCAGGCTGTTCGAATTTTTGAATTGCAGTGTTGGACTTGCATCAAACAAGCAGATCAACCCCCAAGCAGCACACATCGCAAGAATCTTGGGGCTTCATTATTTTCAGTGCTATGTTTGTTGCTGGGTGTGCCGCAGCGATTTGAAAGTAGTTAACACACCGCACCGTACTGAACTCAGCGAAACAGTTGATAACTAACCACGACCCCATGTATTTCTTGGTAAGAAATAGACGTAAAATGAAGGTTGTGAATAAGCTTGTTCCAGTCAGACAGGTATAATATGAACAAGAGAAGGGCCAATACCGCTAAGTTGTTCAAGGCTACTACCCTACCCTACGACTATTGATTAGGGGGCCAAGGAAGCCCTCCACATCCCTGATGGCATCATTCTACTCGTCATCCACGGCAGCGGCGGGGTTCTCGGCCTTGTACTTCTCCATGGCTTGCTTGTAAGCCTCCATGGCGGGAGCGGCCTTGTTGTTCCACTCCGCCTTCTGACCGTCCGACAGTTCGCCCCATGCCTTGCCTTGAAGCTGGCTCAGAGCACCGAACGACACGCCTGGGTTGGCCTCCGCCAGCTTGGCGCGGCCAGCAGAGCTGCGAGACAAAGCGGAACTCACAATAGTCAGTAAAGGAACTGGCATCGAACAGAATTGGGAACAAAATAAACAGGTCGAATCAGAAACTCACCAGAAGAGTTGGTACCCAGACATGGGCCTCTTGGGCTTGTTGGGGTCCTTGGCCGCCTTCTTCGTCTCAGCTGCAGGTGCCGGCTGTTGCTTCTTGGAAACTGCCGCCACCTGCTTGGCGACCTGCATCTCCAGCTGCTTCTTCGCCATGTCCTCCTGATCCATTAGCGCGACAGCCTCCTTCAAATCCTCCTCGTGTCTCCTCTGCTTCTCAGCCGCGACCTGGTCGGCGACAAGCTTATCAGCCTCCTGCTTCCTCGAGTTGTACGCGTCTATCTCCTTGGCGTACCGCTCCTTCTCCTTCAAGGCCAGCTTCTCGAACCGCTCGGCCTTCTTGGAGCCCTTGATCTTGTTCCACTCCTCGCCCAGCAGCTTCGACTCCTCGATCGGGTCACGTTTCTCAGCCGACCGCTCCGCAACAAGGTGCGGGCGGCGCTCGTTGCAGTACAGCATGAAGGCTGACAACGGGTGCTTGGGCTTCTCAGGGTCCTTCGCCTTTCTGCAAGGAAACTCGCCGAAGCCGGTAAGCATCCAATACCCGGAAAGAAGGAACGTAGTCCAGAAAATGACGAAGAACATAAAGTCGGTACTTACTTCTTGTCATTCGCAGCTGACTCGGCGACCTCCTTCTGATGAGCTTCGTACTGCTCCAGAAGTTTCAAAGCTGCTTCCTTCTTCCTTTCCCCATGAAGCTTCTTGAGTGCAGCCTGCTCCCTGTTCTCTCTCTCGATCATCTGAGACAACCACAAGTTTGTCACCGTTAGCACGAGTTACCAGGAATCAAACTGACACCAAAGTTGCATGACAGGCAAATACTTACACTGTCATATTCAGCCTTCTTAGCTTTGTACTCCTCACTCTCCTCGTTGAACTTGGCTTCGTATTTTTTCTTCTCTTCCGCAGAGACGGTCTTCCACATCTCGCCGAAGATCTTGGCAAGATCGGTGACGGAAGCGGTGGGGTTCTTCGCCTTCACCTTCTCGCGGACATCGTTGCACCAGAGGACGTAAGAGGAGGTAGGACGCTTGGGCTTGCGTGGATCCTTGTCCTTCTTGTCGCCATCCTCGCTTTCAAGAGAGAGATCAAGGTCCTGCACCACAAACAGTTGAGACTGTCAGATGAAGTTAAGGAAGAAACGGGACGAAATTGTTGAAGAGAAACGGGACATTGAACATGCTGGCATAGGGAAACATTTGTCAGTCGTTTACCAGAACAGGCTCGAACGGCTTGTGCTTCTGAAGCTTCTTCAGCTCACGAGCCAGGCGCTCGTTCTCCTCAGCCTTGGCCTGAAGTGCCGCGTTCTTCTCCTCCAGAATCTGGTCGTTCTTCTGCTTCTCCAAAGTCACTTGCTCCAGCTTGGCTGTCAATGCCAGAAGCTCGTTCTCAATGCTTGGCCTTCGTTCCGCAAGCGGGCTGTCGGCATCGACGGCAGCAGCCTTCTTGGTAGCCTTGCCGCGGCCTTTAGCCGGAGCCTCGGATCTGGTCGGAACAGCAACTACTTCCTGATCGAGGGTATTCTCGCAATCAATAACCTTGTTAGCGCGTCTACCTCCAGCCATTTTGGATGAATAATTGAGCGTGGCTGATGAAGTTCCCAAACACCAAGTCAAGACGTGGACAACGAAGGCTGATAAAAAGGATGTCACTTATCCAGCAACTAGGAATTGGCGAGAGTTTTATAGGCAACTTAGACTTCTGTGCATGTGAATGTGCAGGCATACTTTCTTATATCCGTTTCAATTACCGAACCGTGTCATCAAAGGCGACCTTCTCTCAAAGCTGCATTGGAGCGACAGTGGCGAAGGCGACGAGGCACTTGAATGGCGGCTCGGGAGTGCACGCACTGTCTGGTAGCATGATGTGGCCGAAGGTGGCTCAGGGGATGTCAGGGTCTTCCAAGGAGGGTGAAAGTTGAAGAGAGGAGAGATTTTTTTCCGCCTGACTTTCAAACTCGCGGTCTGGCCAGAGTGCCTGTGTGTGGCTCTGGGGCCATCTGACTCGAGTTATGGCGCCAAACCTTGGTTTCAGGAGGCTCTGATTGGCCGAACGAGTGGCGTCAGGCAGTTTGAAATTTCCGAACCCGCAGGCTGTGTGCTTGGTTTGGGAGCGTAGTGGTTCCAGATTCCACCTTGGCCGAAAGCAAGTTTCATAAGGTAACCTGAACATTTCGCTAGCCACATTTCCACAACCAATTGTTTTAGAAAGTGAAGTGTTCCGGATTGTGTATATGGATAAAATGGGAAATATATGTCCAAGTTTTATGTGTCGGGTCTTGTAGCGGAACAATGAAGTCCCATAACGAATTCGAGCTTGAGGGCTGCACTTACTTGGCAGAAGTCACCAACACAGACCAACCACAAAAGTTCCGATCTTTCCCCAACTGAACAGCTAGGTCTCGCCACGTGGATATGCGACGTCATAGATGCCAGCCTTATCATTCGAGAAGCGCCATGTCAGCAACTCCCTTGCAGAACCTCCAGGCCAGTAAGAACATCACAGGAACCCAGTGCCCCCTACGAGAAGGCATTCTGAATAACAAGGACGTGCTACGTTGACCCACCAAATTTGCGTCCATCAATCTCCTGGTCAATTCTTCCTCCACTTTCATCCTCTCAGCAGCCATGGCCGCCACCACCACCTTGAGCTCCAGCTCTGTTGCCACATCTCTTGGCGCCTCGTCCTACGCCAAGGACATCTCGGCTTCCAGGAGCCTGACCCTCGGCTTCTCGAGGCAAGACGGTCTTGGTAAGACCTTCAAGGCTAGGTGCGCAAAGGCCGCCAAGGTCACTGCCGTCCCCGCCCAGAAGTCGACTCGCGTCTTTGCCGTGAAGGTATGCGTCAACAGCTGGTTCCTGTGCTGTAGATGCGAAATGACTTCCTACTTGAGGCAGGACTCACGGCTTAACTCAATTTGCTTTTTCTGCCAGGCGGAGGCCCCCCTTGTCGGCAATGTCGCCCCTGACTTCGAGGCTGATGCCGTCTTTGACCAGGAGTTCATCAAGGTGTGTAATGCTCGCAGCTTAGATTTGTTTTCCTTATGGTCAATCTCCGCCATGTCCCATTTGTCCGAGTTCTTTTGTCTGGATTATTGTTTAAATTGCCTGTCTACTGGCCACATCCTGGCTGTTTGTTTCAGGTCAAGCTGAGCGAGTACCTGTCTCAGGGCAAGTATGTCGTCCTCTTCTTCTACCCTCTGGACTTCACATTCGTCTGCCCCACTGGTACGATACTAGTTCAAACTTAACATATGAATGGGAGGCGTGTAACTAGTCGCGTTTTTAACATCTGTTTTGAATTCCCCGTTCCCTGCATCGCAGAGATTACTGCCTTCAGCGACCGCTATTCGGAGTTCGAGAAGATCAACACCGAGGTTCTTGGCGTCTCTGTGGACAGCGTGGTATGTCAATTGTTCTTTATCATCCCTCCCCGT